CCAACCTGGTTTTGCAGGAACTTGGACCTAACAACTAATATACCCATCCAAAGGTGAGGGATCCCTGCTGATCGCCATGTCTTGCATGTGGCCACGCAGATCAATGGCCTTGGTGGCCATGCTCTTGATGCAGAAGCTTGCCATGAAGGGTAGACCGGTAGACCTGGGTAAACCGTGTTTGGGTGGGCAGGGTTTGGCCCTGGTAGGGTTGGTCTGTCATGGTCAAGCCAAGTCTTCAGGTCCTCTAGAGGGTGCTTTCTCGGCTCAGCTAAACCTTGGAGGCTCATAGCCTCATAGCCTACAAGTCAATTAGATCAATTAGATCAATCAGATACTCTGGGTGGCTATGTTTTTTTTCATGGCGCGTAGTTGCATGGGGGGTAGGTGCATCTGATCAGTTTTTGCGCAGACTCGCAATGCAACTTACAGAAAATTTTGCTAAGGATGAACGGTCCGGTGCATATGTATGGAACTGCTTGGGGTGGAGGGAATTGGGTCACTTTTGTACGTTGATGATGTTGTGGCCACCTTTCCTTCAAAGCAAGCTGTATTCAATGCAGTGCATGTTGCTTTGCCAATGTATGAACGAATGGTGCGCGCAAGGTTTAATCTGGGCCCACAAAAGACGGCGGTCATGTGTTGCTATGGTGCGGATCCACCGGATATTCAAAATATGCAATGCAGTGTGTACAAGGTGTTGGGTTGCTTTATTGATGAGTCTTTGACTTTGAACAAACAAGAAGCTTTTGTCCTTAATGTGGGAAAGGCCTTATTCACGGAACTTCTCAACATGTCCAATGAGTGTGGTTTTCCTCCCCCTGTCGTTGCAGTGGCTGTTGTACAAAGGGTTGAGCCTGTAATTAATCCTGTATGGTTGCGAGTTATTTGCTATTAGACCCACGGTGTATGCAAAGCTTGATGCATTGCAGGGGTCTTGGGCAAGGCAAATTTGAGGAACTTCTGGTCAATATGATTTCCGGGCTGCGCTGAGTGTGGCATTTTGTAGATGGCGTCAAAGACTTGGAAGTAAAGCTATTGGGCGAGCAATTGTGTACTTGGCGAAAATTCAGTTGTTGCCCACTGAGCATCCAACAGCCCGGATGGTGCTCGCATTATCTACTGTTGGCGAAACTTGGGTTAGTTCTGTCAAAGAACTGATGTCTACCTTTCCAGTTCCTATTCCTTATATCCTTGAATCTGGACTTATATAATATTTCCAATGATGATCTCACTCGTGCACGTGGTGATGCAAAGTGGCGCAGGGTCCTCGTAACAAAATACAAGGCGCAGGTGGTTTTTCCTGCATTGTGCTCCAGGGATGATGCTGAATTTCATCGAGCAGCTAGCAAGTTCTTGCTTGGACTTGGGGTTACCTATCATGATGGTCCCTCAGCGTTCCTCTCAGGGGTGGGATTGGTTACTTCCACTATTGAACGTTGAGGATTGGAAGCTAGTCAAAGTGTGGGCTTTCATATGGCTCACTGGCAAGTGGCCGGCAACATGGGTTGGGGGTAGTGAGAATGTTGCGACTCTGCTACAGTGCCCCCGTTGTCATCAGCAGCACATCACTGTGTTGCATTCGCTTTGCAGTTGCGTTGGTACCATGGCTGATTTCCTTGATTCAGACTTGATGCCTTATGTTTCTAGGCAGTTTCCCATACAGTGCTTTGTGGCGTCACTATTTCACTCTTCTGCGTCCGCTGAAGTTGATGCGGCCAGGGCCAAGTTCGTTGGCCGGACTATTTTGAGGATCTTATCTGAAGCTGCGCCGGTGTAAAATTATGTCCAAACTGGTCTGCACGTATTATTTGGGCGACTGTGGTAACCTTAAGGTTGCTTCTTAGTACTGGTGTTGCCCCACAGGTGCTGTTACTTGGCATACTTTCTTTGTGTGCGTCACAACGACCCGCTCGGCTCTGCCCACGGGTAACGCGTGGCCTGTTTTCACCTCTCACACATTTGCGTTGAACTCCCAGGTGAGCGGGATTAACTCATATGCTCATATGCTCATATGTCGAACGAGAGAATCGATCCACCCAGGGAATCCACTCAGCAGCATTTTTGCATACGTTTGGTTTCTTCTGGGTTCAGGCCCGATGTTTATTCATTCAATTCTAGCCCGCTACACTGGGACATTAATCATCTCTTCAATGCCCTGTCGGTTGAACTCCCCAAACTTGTCTCATTTTGGGGCACTTAGGTGCACCAGGGTGGCTTGACATGGCTTAACACATGATTCAGGTCCAGCTTCAGTACAGCTTCCTGGTGTCAAGCAGATGTTGGAAGCTGCATCGGAGAGCTACATGCCTTTGAAGAGCACGCCTGTGGAGGACGGGTATGCCAGGGTATGAGTCAAACTTGGGATGCTTTGGGGGCCACAAAAATGATCAAACATGGTCGTTTTAAGTAGGGAACCCATGCATTTTTTGGGTTCCAGACATTTCCAGACCTCTGTTTGGCGCCGGGATGGTGCACATTTGTTTGGCCTGACTGTTCAGGGTCTGGCTTTGCAACGCAGGGTCTTGTATCAAAACATGTCTTGCAACATTTTTTTTGCCCGTGACATTGTCAACTTGAACCCTTAATTTCGGTGGGATATGATCCAGACCCGGTCGTTAGAGGGATGGGAGGGTTGTTGTTAATTGGGCGGGGGAGGGTTGTTGTTAATTGGGGGGTGTTGTTGTTCATTGGAGAGGGAGGGTTGTTGTTAAATTGGTGTTGTCAATTTTGGGGTTGTTGTTACTTGGGGGCGGATGGGTGGGTGGCAGAAAAGGCTCCCGTAGATTAATTTAGAATAGACAATGCACCCGTAGACTCATTGACTAGCAGAAAATGCCCCCATAACAGAAGAAGAAGAACTAGTAGTAGTAGTAGTAGTAGTAGTAGTAGGAGTAGCAGTAGCAGTAGCAGTAGCAGTAGCAGTAGCAGCAGCAGCAGTAGTAGTAGTAGTAGCAGTAGCAGTAGCAGTAGCAGTAGCAGCAGCAGTAGTAGTAGTAGTCGTAGGATGTAGTAGGATGTAGTAGGATGTAGTAGGATGTAGTAGGATGTAGTAGGATGTAGTAGGATGTAGTAGGATGTACTATAGGAGGAGTAGTAGTAGTACGTAGCAGTAGCAGTAGTAGTAGTCGTCGTCCGAGTAGTACCACCCCATTGAACAACAACCCCTTTCCAATTAAACAACAACCCCTTTCCAATTAAACAACAACCCCCCTATTGAACAACAACCCCTTCCCCCAATTGAGCAACCCCCGTCCCCGCCTTGTTGTTCTTCTCCGGGGGGGGTTCCCGAAGCCTCGCGAACAACAACCCCTGCTTATTAACAACAACCCCTTACCCCTATTAAGAACAACCCCCCCACACTTGCTTATCGACCCGGTCTCATATGATCCTGAACCCACAGGTCCGATGATTGAAGGCTCCTGGAGGGGCAAAGGCCAGACCTGCGGCAGTTCCTGTGAGAGGCAAATATGAAATCAACCCGTTCAGCTTTCGCCGTGACGCTACAGCTCCACATTTCACGTCCTTTTGAAATCCATGGCGCACCATGCTTCATGAACCTGGGGTATCCTCAAACCCATTGGTTTTCCCAAAGCACATGACCAATTGCTAGATTTGCTAGATCGTTGGCCGTTGGGATCGTACCTGGGTGCAAGGCTTCAGTGGCAATGGAATCACCCATCAACACCTCTTCCGCTTTGCAAGAATGTCGCCTCCTCCATCGTGGTTCTTGCGGGGAGCATCGTGTTTGCTAGCACAAATGGCGACATCACATTTGCGACATCTTTGCAGGCCTCTCCCTGGCGCTTTGGCTATGGAAAGGCACGAATATCTATACGTACTGCTGGCTGGATCTTGGCTTTGTTGTGCACCTTGCCTACAGCTTCAGCACAGCCAGTTCGACATGTTTTGCACTCCAGTTGCACTAGCAACACTGTTTGCGATGTGTTGCAGATGCACTTGAATTCAACTGAATTTACTGTCACTGACCTTTTTGCATGTTCAGCGACTCTAAACTGCGTGGGTACTACCCAGGCGAGCAATCTAGACTTTTCTCAGAGTCACGCGTACCATTATTTTTATGCATCATTCGATGAAATCAGAAGTGATCAGAAGTGGAACACGCACTTTTTGGTCCCATTAGCAGCCCTGCTTTTGTTTTGTGGCACCATTGGATGTTACGCAGCAACGCCGGGACAACGGAAAAGGAAGAAGAAAAAGAAAAAGCCCAAGAGGAAGAAAGGAAGCTGCCTGATTCCCACACTGAAGGGATCAGTTGGCAAACGTTGTTTTTTCCCTGCCAGGTTTTGCAAAAAACAGAGGGTCAAAGCAGCAAACACAAGAATTCGGCGCTTTGCACAGCGCTGTTGGAGCAAAAGACTGAAACCCAAATATGGCTGTTACAGAAAGAGACCTGTATACAATCATGCAGCAATTTGGACGAAACTCTCCGGTGGCCATGGAGGGGCTGGTTCTTTTGCAACAAGGAAAAGAAGAGAAAGAAAGGAGCAGCAGGTCAATCTGGCCGACATGCTGCAACAAACCTTAAACCAATGGATGCAAACACAGAGGGCACCCAAAAGACAGAAGGGTCCCGATGACACCATGCACCAAAATGCTTCTTTACTTTCTTTGCTTGAAAGTACTCTAGCAGATTGCCGTGCCCGTTGCGATGATGACATGGAAGTTGCACAAGCGGTGCAACAAGCCCTCAATGGTCATCAGAAACAGCAGCAAACGTTCTATCCAAGCAGCGCTCCTCCAAAGTCTTCCAAAGCTGACTCAGCTTGGTGGAACCAGACTGGGAATTACAATGAGAAAGAAAGCCATGGAGTTACGCCAGCAATGAGTGGTGGTGGGAGGAAGCAGAAGCAGAAGCAGATGTCTCAGCCCACCAACAATGGCAAAATGACTATGTCTATCACCGTGACTGGTATCAGCAGACAGCCACACAATCGAAAGTCTATCCAAGTATCACAGAACTGAGAATTTCCGAGTGGACCATGAAACCTGTTCTGATCCATTTGCAGACGCTCAAACAAAATCTCACGACTGGTGACACGATCGTGGGAAACATTATGCATATCAACACCAAGGCACAGCTGGAAGAGTTGCAGAGCTTGATAGATGCTCATGCATTAAATGGCAGTATGACTCTGATCCTCACTGATGAGGCCAAAGATACACCTGGTGCTTATCACACGCGTGTAACGGCCAAAAAGAAGAACCAAGTTAGCCGCCAACTTGATGTTTCGCTGATGGACGCAATCACAGGTTCCCGGGGACCATGGACGTTGCCTCCAGTTGAAATCATACAAACACAAGTCACAGCCATAAAGAGGGTTGCAGTGCGGCTGACAGCTGCTTCGCACTTCCGTGCCTACCTTCACAGCAGTGGCTACAAGGACACTCCAAACTCCGTGCTAGCAAGCGTTGCTAGCTTGCACCCTGACATCAAGGTCAGTCAGATATCTGGTGGAAAGTGGTGGTCTGAGACCATTCAGAGCAAAGTATTCTTGAACACAGTAATCCAGCTTCCCGTTGCTACTGCTGACCAGCTAGTGGCCCGAAGCGGAGAAGAAGGTGTCTTCGCATGCAAGCTTGGCGTGCAACATAATGACCAAAAAATCTTTTGGTTCCCCAGAGAAGGAAAGGAAAGTGATGAAGCATACCACCGTCGCCTTTTCACCATTGCGCAGTCGCGCAAAGAGGGGTTAAAGCTCAGGAAAGGTGGATCCAATGACTTGGGCCTCTTTGCATCGCCGCAAGACACAGCGGCCTTTGCCAGCAACTTCAGCCACTGGTGCGCCACTGGCTTTCCGCATGACTGGCAGCAGGAAGAGGTTCTTCAGTTTCTTCAGGAGCAAAACTGGGAAGAACCATGTATATTAAGTAGACAAAGCCAACGAAAAAGCAGACAAACTAGTTGGTGGATCAAAGCAAAGTCCCCCCAATCGGGATTGCCTTCGCAGACAGCTTGGGAATACCGAATTCCACCATCCACTAGAATATATATCCACAAAGCACCTCAAAAGGCACAGGCTTGTAAAGCTCAAGCTGTGCCAGGCCCTCGCAAACAATGGCGAGATGACCAGTCCGTGCCAGGGCCTCCAAGAACATTACGCGCACAAACACGCGCTGATGATGCCCCAGCGCGAAAGCGTAGTCTTAGCCCTGCAGCATCGGACATGATTGATGCAACCCAAATTGATCCAGCCACTCCGGAAGTGCCATCCCCGCCAAAAGCAGTGTCTGAATTGGAAGCCTTACTTCACGCAGGGTGGAAGAGACATGAGTGCGGGGGCGAAGGAGACTGTGGATACTTAGTTGTTTCGCAAGGGCTGGAACTCAATAAAAATGGGCAGTTTCTGGATGCCGAAACTGCGCAACGAAACGCATCCAATCTTCGTGCAAGTGTGTTTCAACATATTCGCAAACCTCAACACTTGGCTCGATACAGTCAGTTCTTTGCAAGCGATCCTGCCTCAGGAGAAAAAATTGATTCATTTGAAGCATGGATTCAAGCCACCTCCAAGAAAGGTGCTTGGATTGATGGTATGCAGATTCAGGCAATTTGTGAAAAGACAGGAACTGTTCTGATCCTGTGGAGTTGTGATGTCCAGAAGGATGGCACGGAAGTCTGGCAACGTTACACCCATGCTCCACGATTTTCAAAGGGTATCGCATGCCAAGCCAAAGGTTGCCAACCAATCGCAGTGACGCTCCAAAGCGGGCATTACCAGTTGCTAATCCCACCAACTGGCACCAAATTTCCAGAAAGGTGGTTGCGTGAGACTGATATCCCGCCTTCTCAGAAACTAGCCGGTGCTGGCACGAACACTCCAGGGTCCACAAACCCTCGCAACAAAAAGGCAGATTCTGATGTCAAGCCAGCTTCTTTTGCGGAATCAGTGCCAAGCACCCCATCGGTACATACGTGTTTTTTCAGCCCAGATGGATCGCATAGTAAAAAAGCTAGCAGCAAAAATGTGCCAATCAAAGTTGCTCAGCAAGCCAAATCTTTCCAGCCTGACACTCCCTCGGTTCACACTGTGACCTTCAGCCCTGAAAGATCACCAAGTGAATCAGTCACAGGATCTAAAGCGAGTAAAAAACGTAGTCACACCTTTGTGCCCAGTATGTTGGACCTTTCCACCAAGAAGAGGAAAACCAATCCAGTGGTTTCCGCAACCGAGACGTGTGGTATTACTAAACGTGAGCCTTTTGTTCAGCTGCCCGACCTTATCTCTGTTTGGTGGACTTGCACGTGCGGTTTTCAGGTCTTGAAGCACAAAGACCTCACGTGTCATGGGCCGCGTCGCAGAAAACACTTAAATCAGGTTCACGGAATCCAATATTCTGACATGCCGCCTGACCCTCCGGGTGCTCCTGGTGAGGGAGTCCAAACCAAGCGGGAAGAAAGGTCCAAGCGGTGCCAAGCTTGGTTGCTGTTGGCAAAGAAGCGCGGGTGGGCAGGCATGCATGAGCTCACACCTGTCAACATAGGCTGGCGCCGATGGAAGTGTCAAGCCTGCGATGAATCCTTCACCCATTGGAATCGGGGCGCGCAAACATTGTGTTCTGCCAGCAATGCCGCTGGTGGCTCCAAGTTGCCCAGCATTGCCAAACGATTGCAACTCGCCAATCAGTGGTGGGCTCAAACTCTGGAATCGATTGCAAAGGAGAGAGCGGAGAGCCAAGACCTTTTGAATCACTTCTCCTTTTTGAACAACCAAAAAAGACTTAGCATGGTAAATAGTTTATCATCCCCTCCCAAATTGTTTGGGGGCATTCCACTAATGCCATCCGAAGCTGATGGCGGTCACACAAAATTTTGGTGGTCGTGTTCACTGTGCGATTTCAAAATTTCCCTAGCTGAGCCATCTTCGGGCCGCTCGTACAAACGCAAAAACCACTTGCAAAAAGTACATGCCTGGCGTAAGGTCCCCCCAATCCCTAGGCAGGGTTTTGCTGTCCAAGCGGTCCAAACTTCTCAGTCCGTGGTCAAACAACGTTGGGAACACAGGGTTGCTGAATTCCAAAAAAGAGCTTGGGCCGGTGCACATGACATAGGAAGTAAGGCAGTTTGCGTCACTCTTTACACATGCAAATCGGGTAAAGTGTTACAGTACCCCCGATACCAGTGCAAGCGGTGCTGCCGAATGGTTACGGCAGGTGATTTGCCCATCTCTATTTGTTCCTCCCATCCTCGCTGCAGCAAGGCACCTAGTCTAAAGCGCAGAAAGCAAATTTGGCAGACATGTCTTAAGGTTGCTGCGAGACTTAGCAAAGTCGCTGACGGTGTTCGTGCAACACGTCGAGGGCACCGAGCCCAACGGATAGGTGAAGCTTCACACCCAGGTCCTTGTCCCGTCGTCAAGATGTGGAGCCAAAACATTCGTTCCTGGCACACCAATGGTATGGCCTGCTTGGATAGGGCTCAGACTGCAGGTATTTCGCTGGTGGCCCTACAAGAAATGAACATCACGTCAACCAATGCGCCGGCAGTCGTCAATGCATGTCTAAGGCACGGTTGGCAAATGCTGCAAGTCCCTTCTCCCCAAGGTACTTCCAACCGAGGGGGCGTCGCTATCTGCTGCCGTGAGCCACTTGGGTTAGTTCTTATCGATACTTGGAGCGATCCTCAGGGCCAGTTTGTGCTGGCCGAAGTACACGGAGGAAATAAATCCTTTAAACTCTGCAGTTATTATCGCCATGCTGATGATGAAGATTTCCAAGGTCTTACCCGTATTAGCCAGACTCTGTCTAGTGACATGGACCAAGCTTGGATCGTAGCTATGGATGCCAATACGAATCAAATGGCTGGTACTTGCGCCACTCTGATGAACGAAATCAAAGGTTGCTGCCGGGCTCATGCTGGTCACAATTCCAGTAGGTTTCCAATCGACGGTATTTGGTCCTCGCTGGATCTTCGCCCGACTGCTGCCTTTTCGTGGCAGCCAGGGGACGGAGATCACTCTTTAGCTGAAGTCCATTGGGAAGTCCAAACGCAAAAGCCTGGACGCCAACAGTTCAGGTTTGCTCACACCAGGAAAATGGCTGAACAGAATTTTCCTTCTCAGCAGGAAGCTTGGGCTCTCAGCTGTACATCAGACGAGAGATGGACAGAGGTGCTCAGCAATGTGGACCAGGCTTGGATAGTTTGGTGTCAAGATATAGAAACGTGGCTGACCCGCAATGGTATTTTAGACCAAGGTCGACCTGAACGGCCACTGGGCTCAGCGCCCAGGGTTCAAACCAGCACTCATGCTATGGGCCCTTTGCAGCCCCTTGCTGAGCGGAAGCTCCGTCGCTGGATTCGGCGTTTGCAAGAAGCTCGGAAGTTCAGTCACCTCGGGTACCAACTCAACCCGGGTTTGCAGAAAAAACTTGAATCCACCAGGGATGTGCCTGCTCCTGAAAAGCAGGCGGTCCGTCAAGCAGCTTTCGGTCTGGCAGAACGTTTAGCTCACGGCAGGCTCCAGGCTCTTCTTCAAAATAAATCTAGCCAAAAGTTAAACAAATGGAAAACTCAGGTCACAGACCACAGCGGCGCTTGCAAATGGGTTAAATTGACTGAGGTTGGATCTCCGGTTTTGCAAGATGAATCCGGTCAGATCCTCACTTCCAGACCAAGAGCTCTCGCTGCACTCCATACTTTTTGGTCTCGCACTTTTGGGGACTGCTTTGGACTCATGGGATCAGTTTTCTGAAGTTTTTCAAGAACATTTTCCCATGCCGGCCCAAACTGAAGCATTGCCTCCTATCACAGGCAAAGACATTATTCGCGTAGCCAGGAAAATGAAAGACAAAGCAGGAGGGCCGGATGGGATCACACCCCGTCACCTCACGTGTTTGCCACAACTGGCGATTGACAGGTTCGCCCAGATCCTTCAGACATGTGAAAACATTGGCCGTTGGCCCACGCAGGTGCGTCACTGGAAAATTTGCTTCCTGCCTAAGGCTACCACTCGAAAGGGAGTAGTCGCAGGTTTAGGGGATGTTCGTCCAATCAGTGTAGGCCCCACTGCCTACCGCATTTGTGCAGCCATCAGACTTCAGCACTGCAAATCTTTTGTGGAGGGTCTTCTGTGTCAAGATCAGGCTGGGTGCAATGGGTTAGCAGCGCAGGATTTGTTACTCACCATGGAAAACAAGTACCAAGCTCAGGATTGGCCATATGCCATGGCATTAAACCTGCAGAAAGCTTTCGATACCACCGACTGGACCGTGTGTCTTAAACTCCTCAAACACGCAGGTCTTCAGGCACCTATCCTTAAACTCCTGCAGGACCAATGGGACCACCACGAAAGGTGGCTCAGCTATCGCGGAGCAATTGATCCCGCCCCGCTCAAAAACACAGCCGGTCTCCCCCAAGGAGACCCATGGTCTCCAATTGCCATGAGCGCTCTAATGGCCGTTGCCAGTCGTTTCGTCCTCAGCCAGGAACCAAACGCCAGGTCCTTAATATATTTGGACGACAGGACATTAGTCGCCACAAGCCGACAGGCCTTGAACCAAGCGCTTCAGGCTTGGGAAGTTCTGTTCCAAAACACTCGTCTTCGCAATAATGCATCTAAACAACAATTCTTGCCACGAACCTTGGATGCTCGGGTCGAATGCCTACAGCTTGGCATTCCCTTTCAAAATACGGCCAAAATTTTGGGTGTTTGTATGGGTTTAATTCCCCGTAGTAGGACTGAGGAGGAACAGAAACGTTCTGATAAAGTGGCACAGGTCGCTCGTCGAATAGCGCTCCTGCCCACAGCTAAGGCTTTCAGGAACTCGGTTGCAGTCAGCGTCTTGGCGCCCACTGCCTCCTGGGGAGCTCTTTTCAATGGTCGGTGTCCGACAAAACAGGAATGCCAGGCCTATGCTCAGACCTGGCGATGTGCAGTTCAAGGTTTTGATCATCCAGGGGGCCACGACTCTCGTGACCTCACAGCTGTAATGGCTATGGGCCACTGTTCTGACCTTTTGTTTCTAAGTACCCAACGGTTTATGACGGCTCTTCATAAGTGGGCGCTTCGTCCAAATCAGATCGCCATCAATTCAGCTCATCAAAGCGTTGCAGGCTGCTGTCCAACGCCTGCAAGGTTCTTGGACTCCCGAGGTGGGGTTCTCTTTTTTCAACGGCCGGTGGCTGACTAGCATGCCGGTAGGTTTCATTTCAAGGTGTCAACATTTGTTTCGCCAGCATTGGCGTACAACGAGGTTCACCGCTTGGGTGCAATCTGAACGCATTGATTCTCAGCTTGCCAGGGCACAAGGAATCCATGCGACTGAGGAACTCATTGACAAACTTAGGTCCTTTGCACGTTCTGCAAGTGGTGATCAGGTGGCTGTGCTCTGTGGGGGCATTACCACTGATTGAGGGCCTCCGAGAATTTTGTCCGGACTGTCACTGCGTTGTCTGTCCTTCTACTGAGCACGTTCTTTGGCAGTGTGAAACTTGGAAAGATCATAGGGTGTTTGACCAACCCACCGATCCCATGTGCGCTCGCATGGGCTGGAATCAAAATGGGGTGCGCCCCTGTTTGGGCCAAATGGCCACGATCCGCGCAGTGGCTGCCGAGGCCCGGATGAAAAGATTGCGCCTTGGCAGGGCCCCCTGTGTGGGGGGCACCGTCCTGTAAGGACCCCTGAGCGCAGCTGTGCTGCGCTCCTTTTCTGGCCGCTACACCGCCTCCGGGTGCCAGTGTGCGGCTTCAGCTTCAACAAACCTCTTCCGCTTTGGGGCCACTGTTCTGACCTTTTGTTTCTAAGTACCCAACGGTTTATGACGGCTCTTCATAAGTGGGCGCTTCGTCCAAATCAGATCGCCATCAATTCAGCTCCTATCAAAGCGTTGCAGGCTGCTGTCCAACGCCTGCAAGGTTCTTGGACTCCCGAGGTGGGGTTCTCTTTTTTCAACGGCCGGTGGCTGACTAGCATGCCGGTAGGTTTCATTTCAAGGTGTCAACATTTGTTTCGCCAGCATTGGCGTACAACGAGGTTCACCGCTTGGGTGCAATCTGAACGCATTGATTCTCAGCTTGCCAGGGCACAAGGAATCCATGCGACTGAGGAACTCATTGACAAACTTAGGTCCTTTGCACGTTCTGCAAGTGGTGATCAGGTGGCTGTGCTCTGTGGGGGCATTACCACTGATGCTCATATTGAGGGCCTCCGAGAATTTTGTCCGGACTGTCACTGCGTTGTCTGTCCTTCTACTGAGCACGTTCTTTGGCAGTGTGAAACTTGGAAAGATCATAGGGTGTTTGACCAACCCACCGATCCCATGTGCGCTCGCATGGGCTGGAATCAAAATGGGGTGCACCCCTGTTTGGGCCAAATGGCCACGATCCGCGCAGTGGCTGCCGAGGCCCGGATGAAAAGATTGCGCCTTGGCAGGGCCCCCTGTGTGGGGGGCACCGTCCTGTAAGGACCCCACAGCTGCGCTCCTTTTCTGGCCGCTACACCGCCTCCGGGTGCCAGTGTGCGGCTTCAGCTTCAACAACCTCTTCCGCTTTGCAGACTGGGATGGTGATGGCGACATGGATTTGATCTTTGGTCATTACATGAATACCTCAGACCCCTGGGACAAGCTACAGATTGAGTTCCACGAGCGCCTTCCTAGTGGCGCCCTCCAAGCAAAGCCCTGGCATACCGTGGAATCGACTCCTGAGGCGATGGAAAGCTGGTGATGTGGGGGGTGGAATCAAATGGGAACCATCCGTGACTGGACATAAGAAAATCATTACAAAAGCAACAAAAACGTAATTTGTAACTTCGCGATCAGAAAATCATGCACGGCGATCGGAGAGCGACTGGGATCACGAGACTTGTCAGATCTTTGCAGTATCATTTAATATCATTTGATAACCAATCCCTTTTAAAAAATATTCCTGGGTACCGACTAGGTTATGGAATACTTTTTTGGAATATTATATTTCCTTGAATAATTTCCTCAAGGTGTGGGTGTGGGTCTACGATTATGCATGTTTGAGTTTGAACATCATGATCCAGCCCCTCAACATACCCCGGAATAATATGGAATAATTAGGTTTTGGCATAATTTCATATAACTTGAAACATTTCGAAACAGCCTAAACTTCCCTATACCTGGCCTGGCCCTTCCAAAAGCCGTTCCTAGCTTGGTGGTGTTTGCCTGAAAGCCTTCGGCAGGAAATGCCAATTGCAGTTGTTTGAGACACCATGCAGTTTGGGCAATTACTGCCAATTTTTCCCGAGAGCGTCTGAGCGCAGGGTTCTTCCAATAGTGGGGGTCTGTAAAACATCTTCTCATCTTCACATCTCATCTTCACATCCTCTCATCTTCACATCCTCTCATCTTCACATCCTCTCATCTTCACATCCTCTCATCTTCACATCTCATCTTCACACATCTTCACATCTTTTCATCTTTAATCCTCCATCTTCACATCTCTCATCTTCACATCTGCGCATCTTCACACCTTCCCATCTTCACATCTGCTCATCTTCACACCTTCCCATCTTCACATCTTCTCATCTTCACATCTGCTCATCTTCTCATCTTCTCATCTTCACATCTTCTCATCTTCACATCTGTTCATCTTCACATCTGCTCATCTTCACATCTGCTCATCTTCACACCTTCTTTCACATCTGCTCATCTTCACATCTGCTTATCTTCACATCTTCTCTCACATCTGCTCATCTTCACATCTGCTCATCTTCACATCTGCTCATCTTCACACCTTCTCTCACATCTTCTCATCTTCACATCTGCTCATCTTCACATCTTCTCTCACATCTCTCTCACATCTTCTCTCACATCTGCTCATCTTCACATCTTCTCTCACATCTTCTCTTACATATTCTCTCACATCTTCTCTCACATCTTCTCTCACATCTGCTCTCACATCTTCTCTCACATCTGCTCATCTTCACATCTTCTCTCACATCTGCTCATCTTCACATCTGCTCATCTTCACATCTTCTCTCACATCTGCTCATCTTCACATCTGCTCATCTTCACACCTTCTCTCACATCTCTCTCCTTTTTCTCTCTCTCGCCTTCTTTTTATCTTTCTCTCTTAAGGCCGAGGGTGGTGCCGGCGGCGAGTCACGAAACGCCAACCCTTTCGCACGAAATGAGGGTCGATCGGCAAAAACTGAGGAAAAATTGCGATTTGACTTGCCCCGGAGCAACCCTTTCGCACGAAATGAGGGTCGATCGGCAAAAACTGAGGTAAAATTGCGATTTGACTTGCCCCGGAGCAACCCTTTCGCACGAAATGAGGGTCGATCGGCAAAAACTGAAGTAAAACTGCGATTTGACTTGCCCCGGAGCAACCCTTTCGCACGAAATGAAGGTCGATCGGCAAAAACTGAGGTAAAATTGCGATTTGACTTGTCCCGGAGCAACTCTTTCGCACGAAATGAGGGTCGATCGGCAAAAACTGAGGTAAAACTGCGATTTGACTTGTCCTGGAGCAACCCTTTCGCACGAAATGAGGGTCGATGGGCAAAAACTGAGGTAAAAGTGCGATTTTACTTGTCCTGGAGCAACCCTTTCGCACGAAATGAGGGTCGATCGGCAAAAACTGAGGTAAAAGTGCGATTTTACTTGTGCCGGAGCAACCCTTTCGCACGAAATGAGGGTCGATCGGCAAAAACTGAGGTAAAAGTGCGATTTTACTTGTGCCGTTCTTGTCTGTGTGTAAAAGCGCCTGTGTGTAAAAAGCGTCTGTGTGTAAAAGTCTCTGTGTGTAAAAGCGTCTGTGTGTCAAAGCGTCTGTGTGTCAAAGTGTCTGTGTGTAAAAGCGTCTGTGTGTAAAAGTGTTTGTGTGTAAAAGTCTCTGTGTGTAAAAGCGTCTGTGTGTCAAAGCGTCTGTGTGTCAAAGTGTCTGTGTGTAAAAGCGTCTGTGTGTAAAAGTGTTTGTGTGTAAAAGTGTTTGTGTTCAAGTGTTTCTGTGTAAAAGCCTCTGTGTGTAAATGTGTTTGTGTGTGAAAGCGTTTGCGTGTAAAAAGCGTCTGTGTGTAGAGGTTGTCTGTGTGTAAAAGCGTCTGTGTGTCAAAGCGTTTGTGTGTAAAAGCGTCTGTGTGTAAAAGTGTTTGTATGTAAAAGCTTCTGTGTGTAAAAGTGTTTGTGTCAAAGTGTTTGTGTAAAAGTGTTTGTGTAAAAGCCTCTGTGTGTACATGTGTTTGTGTGTGACAGCGTCTGTGTGTAAAAAGCGTCTGTGTGTAAAAAGCGTCTGTGTGTAAAAAGCGTCTGTGTGTAAAAGCGTCTGTGTGTGTCAAAGGGTTTGTGTGTAAAAGCGTCTGTGCGTAAAAGTGTTTGTATGTAAAAGCTTCTGTGTGTAAAAGTGTTTGTGTTACAGTGTTTGTGTAAAAGCCTCTGTGTGTAAAAGCTTTTTGTTTAAAAGCGTCTGTGTAAAAAGCGTCTGTTTGTAAAAGTGTTTGCGATGCAAACTACTGTCTTGCACTTCTCACTGTCCTGTCTTGATACTCCTCTTCTCGACTGCCTATAACAGAGCTTTCATATATCGTTTCTAATATTGCGTCTCCATACTAACAAGAGAAGACCCTGCTCCCCCCTGAACTGGCCGAGCAAACATGACTGTAAGCATTTCCAGAGCTTCTTTTGGTGGCCGTGGTGCTCGTCTTTGGAGATTTTGGAGGCCTGCTGCATGTTGCCGTGTGGCAGTCATTCGATGTTTTGCAGCTAGCTTTTGGTAAAACCGCATGATTTTGCGAGTTTCAACTGCAAGCTTGTGTTCCGTTTGTTTGGTGAAAGCATGAAGCTGGTCGGCGCAGCTATTGGTTCGAGATTTGTATCGCGCTTGGCGTCTATAAGTTGTCACTCTGGGTTCGCTGCAACCGGATATGTCCGAGAAGGTCGGAGAGTTGCAACAAGGCTTGACAGAGGGAGGAGTTGATCCCTTCCGGCGCCAGGTGCGCAAACTTGGGATCAATGCATTGACGGCTTTAGCTTCTGAGCTGGGGATGTCACTGTGTGGCATTCATTTGATGTTTTGCACCGCATGATTTTGCGCCAGGTGCGCAAACTTGGGATCAATGCATTGAAGGCTTTAGTTTCTGAGCTGGGGATGTCAGTGTGTGGCAGTCATTCGATGTTTTGCAGCTAGCTTTTGGTAACACCGCATGATTTTGCGCCAGGTGCGCAAACTTGGGATCAATGCATTGAAGGCTTTAGTTTCTGAGCTGGGGATGTCAGTGTGTGGCAGTCATTCGATGTTTTGCAGCTAGCTTTTGGTAAACCGCATGATTTTGCGCCAGGTGCGCAAACTTGGGATCAATGCATTGAAGCCTTTAGCTTCTGAGCTGGGGATGTCAGTGTGTGGCAGTCATTCGATGGTTTGCAGCTAGCTTTTTGGTGAAACCGCATGATTTTGCGCCAGGTGCGCAAACTTGGGATCAATGCATTGAAGGCTTTAGCTTCTGAGCTGGGGATGTCAGTGTGTGGTAGTCATTCGATGTTTTGCAGCTAGCTTGTGGTAAAACCGCATGACTTTTATTGCGCCAGGTGGCAAACTTGGGATCAATGCATTGAAGGCAGTCATTCGATGTTTTGCAGCTAGCTTGTGGTAAAACTGCATGATTTTGCGCCAGCTGCGCAAACTTGGGATCAATGCATTGAAGGCTTTAGCTTCTGAGCTGGGGATGTCAGTGTGTGGCAGTCATTCGATGTTTTGCACCTAGCTTTTCGTAAAACTGCATGATTTTGCGCCAGGTGCGCAAACTTGGGATCAATGCATTGAAGGCTTTAGCCTCTGAGCTGGGGATGTCAGTGTGTGGCAGTCATTCGATGTTTTGCACCTAGCTTTTCATAAAACTGCATGATTTTTGCGAGTTTCAACTGCAAGCTTGTGTTCCGTTTGTTCGTCAAAGCATGAAGTAGGTCGGCGCAGCTTTTGGTCCGAGATTCGTATCGTGCTTGGCCTCTATGAGTTGTTACTCTGGGTTTGCTTCAACCGGAAATGTCCGAGAAGCTCCGAGAGTTGCAACAAGCTACGAAAGAGGGAGGAGTTGATCTCTTCCGGCGCCAGGTGCGCAAACTTGGGATCAATGCATTGAAGGCTTTAGCTTCTGAGCTCGGGATGTCAGTGTGTGGCAGTCATTCAATGTTTTGCAGCTAGCTTTTGGTAAAACCGCTTGATCTTTGCTTGAGACATTCAGTTTCACCGTAGTGCATCCTGTCTCACTGTAGTGCATCGGCGTGCGTCAACACCTTTGTGAGCAGCTTAGTTATTTGATGTTTAACTTTGATTCTTGTATTGCAACCAGAACTGTCTGAGCATTGAATTTGAAAATGAAGTGCATCAGCATGAGTCAACCAGAACTGTCTGAGACTTGTTGATGCACGCATCTTTGCTTGAGACATTCAGTTTCACCGTAGTGCATCCTGTCTCACCGTAGTGCATCGGCGTGCGTCAACACCTTTGTGAGCAGCTTAGTTATTTGATGTTTAACTTTGATTCTTGTATTGCAACCAGAACTGTCTGAGCATTGAATTTGAAAATGAAGTGCATAAGCATGAGTCAACCAGAACTGTCTGAGACTTGCTGATGCACGCATCTTTGCTTGAGACATTCAGTTTCACCGTAGTGCATCCTGTCTCACCATAGTGTATCGGCGTGGGTCAAGCAGAACGGTCTGAGACTCCATAGAAGAGCAATAAAGCTGCCGATTCCTTTTG